TCCCTTTCTTTTAATTAATTCATTGGGTAATTAATTGATTAATTTTTAACCTTCTGTTTTTTCCAAGGCCTATTGATTCTATCCTGTGCCTCCCAAGTGCTCCTGGGTGTTGGTCTACACCCTGGAGTCTGGTCAACCTACTAGGCGTCACACCAATAAGAAAACTGTCTCTCCCTCTCTCAGCCGCCATCAGTTGTCAGTAGATATTCAGCTAGAGTCAGGGTTTCTGCCCACCTTCCCCATCCATGCTGGTCCCGTCTGGCTTGGATTTGCACAAGTCTTGTGCATATTGTCATAAGCACTGTGGGGTCATATGTGCAACTACCTTGCAGTGTCCAGACAATACAGATTCCTTGTATTGATCTACTGCCTCTGGCTGTTACAATCTTTCTGCCCCTCTCTTCCGCAATGATCCCTGAGCCTTGGGAGGAGAGACAATATCAGGTCAGGTGTCTGATTTATGGCTGAGCACCCTGCACTTTGGCCATTTGTGGGTTCTGTATTAATCACCATCTGCTGCAAGGAGAACCTTCTCTGGTGAGATGTGAGGAATGTACTAATCTCTGGGTATGACAGTACACCATTAGGTGTCAGAACGATAGTAGTAGTAAGTTTTCACTGATGATCTGTGTGACCTGTTTAGCCACAGGTTGTCGGCCCTGACAGACAACAATTTCAAGTATGAATTACATTTTGTGAAGTGGGCCGTAAGTCCATTTAGAAGATGGTCAGTTACTCCCATAATATTTGTGTCACTATCACTAGTGGCCATATGTTGCCAAAACAGTTGTTACTTTAGTTTGCAAGGCTTGTAGCTGGGTAAGACTCATGATTGTTTTCCTGCCAGGAACACGCACAGCACCTTCTGGTACTTGAGAGGTAGTCGGCAGAGATGTAGCTTCAAGGTCAGTACCACAGACAGGTTTCCCCTTGCTTCTTCCCCGCTCAGGTAGGTAGTGTCTTCAGCAATAGAGTTCTCAGATGGAGAAAAGCAATGCTGATAATTTTTTTCATGTCAACTTCTTTAGTCATAAAGGAAATGCAAATTAAAATTACTCGAAATTTCATCTTACCCCAGTCAGAATGGCTAAGACCCAAGAAACAAACAATGACAAATTTGGGTGAGGATGTGGAGAAAATTGCTTGTGAGAGTGCAAACTGCTGTGGCCATTATGGAAATCAGTGTGGAGGTTCCTCACAAAGCTGAAAATAGATCTCTCACATGATCCAGTCATCCCACTCTTGGGTGTATGCACAGAGGACTCCCTATCTTACTAAAGAGCTACGTGTTCATCCATGTTCATTGCCATCTTATTCACAGCAGCCAGGAAATTGAGATGACCTAGATATCCATCAGGTAAAAATGGTGCATTTACACAATGGAACACTACTTAGTTTTTATGAAAAACGAAATGATAAGATTTGCAGGTAAATGGACGGAACTAAAAGCATTCATCCTAAGTGAGGTAACTAGCACGTAGAAAGACTAAGTTTGCACGTTCTGTCTCATAAGTCAGTGCTAGCTTTGAACATGTAGATAACTGTTTTTCAATTGGGAAATCTTTAGAGATTGGGAAATCAATAAAGGTCCATTTGGGGCAGTTTATATGAGAAAGAATAGAACACAGTGACATAAATGGGAAAAGGTAATAACAGACTCGATGTGTTTCGTGGGGTGTGAAATGGGAGGGCAGGGCTCAAACAGGAGTAAGAGGAGAGAAAACCAAAATGAAAGGCCTTTTGAAGGAGTCATATGGAGACCTACTATGGAAACGCCTTTCAATATGCAACACAGAAAGATTTTGTTAAATGTAGTTACCCTTTAACAGAGGTCAATGGTCCTAATAGACACTGCAGGCTAGCAAATGAAAAGCCTAACAATGCCAGGAGTGGATTTCTTCTTTTGAGGTTGTTGACCAGAGAGATCCTCAAACAGTACTGACTATTGCCATTGCCATTGCCGTCGGTCACCTGGCAGAACTTGATGGTGACACACTTCATTTACAAATTTTACAAAAATTCTTTAAGTGATACTTTTTATTTGATGGCTTGTTTTAATTGTCATGTCTATAGTGATCTGGATATGATCAAAATGCATTTTATAATGTGTAAAATTCTCAAGTAACAAAACACACATTACAAACCTTCTTGATGAATATCTTTTTGTTATCTTCACATGTAACATCAGTTTTTCCCCACCCCAACCCTCCTGCTAGTCAAGCACCTTGTTTCTTTGGTATTACATAGGTGTATTTTATGTCTGAATATTTCCTTAATTTTTTCCTCATCTTTAAGTAACAATGTGAAATGAGCCAAATCTGACACTGAGTGATGTCACTCAGAACTGCTGAGTTTTCTAGTCTTCCCCACAAAAGGATATACAATTTTGAAAAAATAAAATAGTAACATAGTTTTTAGACTCAGAGAATGTTAATACTGTTTTATACAATGTGTAGAGTGATAAAATATTGGCCAAGCACTAGGATAAATCAAATAGTAGTGATAGCGATGATGATGGCAGCAGCAATCAGCCAAGAAGATGATCAATAAGCACTATGATTATTTTAACAACCTAAAATGGGACTGTGATATTTGGAAGATGTTTAAACACTGTAAAAATGTATTCTCACTACATAAATTTAACATTAGAGCAGAAGACAGACTACCAGGATAAAGGAAGAGGACTAGCATGAGGGTAACGGGGGGATTTTTTTTATTCTGCCACGCTGTTGTGATTAGTGAATATGAGCTAAGCTTAGTGACATGCATGTGAGATCACGTCATAAAGAAACCTATTATTTTGAAATTTTTCTGGAAATTGAAAATAAGTTAAAATTAAAAATATTTAAAAATAAATTGGCTTAACACAAAAACATGAATAATTGGAAAGAAATCGTGAGTGATGTAACAGAATTCTTTAAATAACAGTAAGGAAAATTTAAACAAGAACCTTAAAATCTAATTAAGTGTAGAAGAAATTGTGACTGGCACATGTAATCAGAGCTTTATAAAGGAAGGAGATGAGTGAGAAGAAAAGGCAAGTTTGATAAGAAAATGGCAAAGAATTCAATAAATACAATGAATTAAGTAAAAGCTTCAAAAATCAATAAAAACTTAAGTAAAATTCAGATAAAGTCATTTCAGAGAGAAGACTGAAATGCATCCAAGGGGAATAGATGCACCATCTGTAAAACAGAAATGCCAAGACTCAGCAGTTGACGTCTCAACCAACATGTGGAGGGAAGAATTGAATAAGATAATATTTTCAAAGCTCTGAAAGACAAAGAAAGATAGTTTACAATTTTATATAATCAGAATAAGACTAAAATGAAGGTGAAGCAGAGAAGAAAGCCATCAATATATGATGATATCAAAGGAAGCATTTGAGCTTATTCTTTTTATCTAAGCACAATTAATACAGGTATAGAAAGGAAGGAACAACAAAATGGTAAATATCGGAGAACATTTAGTCAATGCTGAGTAGGCAAGATAGGAAGCAAATGCAAGTGAAGTTCAAAGTGTAAATGAGAGTCTATTCAAAGGGTGGTATAAACCACAAAGTGGGTAAATACACTAATGTTCTTCTAAGATTCTTTTTTAAAGTAAACAGATAATGGGACTTGAGTTATGGCTCAGCAGTTAAGAGAACTGTCTGTTCTTGCAGAGGACCTGGTTTCGGTTCCCAGCACGCATATGCCAGCTAACACCTATTCTTAACTCCAGTTCCAGGGGATCTGACACCCTCTTCTGGCCTCCACAGGACTGCATGTCATGAATGACTTATATAGTTGTAGGCAAAACACTCATACACATAAAATTTTTAAAAATGAAATAATTTTTAAAAGAAAGAGATAAGACTACAAATTAATATTGAGCTATTAGATCTTCTATACACATGGACACCTTAACACCACCAGGACAATGGTTAAAGTTACTACACACACACACACATGCACACACACACACACACACACACACACAGGTATAATTAAAGCAAATGAGACCACACCTTTAGTCCCAGCACTTGGGATGCAGAGGCAGGCAGATCTCTGTGAGGTCAGCCTGACCTATATAGTAAATTCTAAGCTATGAGGCCAATTCTCACAACAAAACAAAATGCAAACACAGACACAGACACACAGACACACACAGACACACAGACACACAGACACACACACACACACACACACATGCACACAAAACAAATTAAGTAATATTCTTATATTAAAATTGATGCAATACCAGAATAGAAAATTTCTGCTATTTGAAAAGGGACAGTAATGTAAATTATAACATAATTTTTTAATATATATTTTTTTAGTTTATTGTTTTTATGTGTATGTGTGTATTGCCTGCATGTAGGTAAGAGCACCCATGTTGTGCAATGCTGGTGGAGGACAGAAGAGGCTGTTGGATTCCCTGGAACTGGAGTTACTGACAGTTGTTAACTGCCATGTGGGTGCTGGGATTTGAACCCGAGACTTCTGTAAGAACAACCAGTGTTCTTAACCCCTGAGCCATCTCTCCAGTCCCAACATAAATTTTTTTAAATGGCATTTTCTGGGCTAAGTTTACAGGCTAAGTTTAAGCTCTGTAAGTTTCACAAAGGGAGGGGTGTGGCATGGTCACTCACGATTTCATCTTCAACACACCGCACTTATGAAACCAACACTCAGAAAATTAATACGCTCATAATAAGGGAATGTACTATAGGAAATATCATTTTTTACACAGTGATGAATGCACTGAATTGTGAAATAAAACATTCACTGGGTCTCCAATAAAAGAAGAAAATGACATATAAACTACTAAGGAAACTGAGACCAAGAAATCAGCTATAGATTTTGAGAGGCACTCAGAAAAGCAGGTGGGAGTTCAGTGTATTTAGATACTTAGAGGAGAGCATCAGCACAGCTGTAGGGTGGAACATAACCTTGACTACAAAGCATTCCTCTGCATGAGCACTCACAGTAGAGGATGAAACCTCATACTAGTGGGTGCTATTTCTTTCCCTTTCCCTGTATCTGTAATAACATTTTTTTCACACAGTCATAGATCTGCTTGGTTCTCACCCCATATATGACAGGATTGAGCATGGGTGGCACTACAACATAAAGATTGGCCAGGAGTATATGAATAAAGCGGGGCACATTTCGACCAAAGCGGTGTGTCATAAAGGAAAAGAGGGCTGGAGTGTAGAAGGCCAAGATGACACAAATATGAGAACCGCAAGTACTGAGGGACTTGAGCCGGGCTTCCTGGGAAGGGAGATGGAAAACAGCACGGAGTATCTGTATGTAAGAAAGAGCAATGGCTACGATGTCAAACAGTAAATTACATATGGCACATAAACCATAGACAATGTTGATCTTGATACTGGCACAAGACAGACGAGCGAGACCCATGTGCTCACAGTAGGTGTGGGGAATGACATGATTGCCACAGAAGGGCAGTCGCAAAATTAGAAATATAAATGGAATAACGAAGATGACTGCCCTTACTAACACAGCAAGACCGATCACAGAAACGACCTTATTGGTGAGGATGGTGCTGTATCTGAGTGGGATGCAGATGGCCACATAGCGGTCATAAGCCATCGCCAGGAGGACTGCTGACTCCATAAGTGTGAATTTGTGAATGAAAAACATCTGTATAAGACAATCTTCAAAGATGATCTCTCTGAGATTAATCCAGAAGATGCCAAGCATCTTAGGGATGGTCGCTGTGGAGAGGCCCAAGTCAATGGTGGCCAACATAGCCAGGAAGTAGAACATGGGCTGGTGGAGACTGCTCTCAGTCTTGATCACCAACAGGATGGTGATGTTCCCTAGGACTGCAATCACGTACACTGCACAGAAAGGAAAGCCAATCCAGATGTGAAAGGACTCTAGTCCTGGGATCCCCAGCAGGAGGAAGGAGGAAGGGTGAAACTGGGTGCCATTGGGAAGGAGCATCCTCTTGGGAAATGCATGAGTCAGTCTTCCAAACTGTTCACTCATCCAATCAGCAACTTACAGAATAGTTTTCTGCTACAGGAGACCTGGAAACATTTGAAGGGACATTTCATACTGTGTGCATGGACATTTCATGCTGTGTGCATGGACATTTCATGCTGTGTGCATGGACATTTCATACTGTGTGCATGGACATTTCATGCTGTGTGCATGGACATTTCATGCTGTGTGCATGGACATTTCATACTGTGTGCATGGACATTTCATGCTGTGTGCATGGACATTTCATGCTGTGTGCATGGACATTTCATACTGTGTGCATGGACATTTCATGCTGTGTGCATGGACATTTCATGCTGTGTGCATGGACATTTCATACTGTGTGCATGGACATTTCATGCTGTGTGCATGGACATTTCATGCTGTGTGCATGGACATTTCATACTGTGTGCATGGACATTTCATGCTGTGTGCATGGACATTTCATGCTGTGTACATGCTCTTCTGCATGTCACTCTATCAATTTGAAAACCCCTGTGTACTGAGCCTTTTATGGAAACAAGTCAAGAATAAGTCTTAGAGGAAACTACACAGTAAATAAAAATAAAATATTCTGCATGCAACCCCTAAGTGTACAGGCATTCTCTTTAAAATTTTATTACTACCTTTATAACCAATACTTATTAATCACTTTATACCAATACCATCCTTTATGAGAACTTTGTCTTATTTTCACCATGGTTAGTAACAGAGCACCCTTAAATGTTGATCAGCTTAGGATTCTGCTGGGCCCTAAATATAATACTGCTAATTAGTTCCAGATGATTGAATGACAATCTAAGTGATGGTTAGTTCTGATTGCCAGTTTGATTAGGTTAAGAAACACAAAAGAGATTTTTAAAATTCACCCTTGAGTATCTTTATGCGGATGTTTCCAGAGACAATTAAATCATGAGTGCTATGTCCTAATGAAAGTTTTTAACCTATTGGTACATTTGAAATTTGAATGTTTTACCTATACTATAATGTTCAAAACATCCACATACATGCAGAACAATATCCAGTCCTCCACGAACATTTACAAACACACAATACTTTTGAGCATAATCTTTAGCTGGACAACATATATTAGTCTTCAGTTCAAAAGTGAAGAAGTCATCGGCTTTGGAGTCTTTGATATGTGACAAAAATAAGTAAAAACCATGGAGAGAAGAAAAAGTAGGAGCATTGAAAAATTAGGTTTATGTTTCTAATCTGAAAAATTTTCCAACTTATCTAAATCATTTTTATTTGGGCCTATGCATATTAAAGAAGTCTACCCTTAAAATAACACCTTACTCCACTTTTGTGTTGCTAGGGATCAAATACTTGTAACATTCCAGAATTGTTACCAAATAATTTTTATTCATATGGGTCCATATGTAAAATAGAAAAATGTCTGTCTCTTCTGATCATTTGAAGAATCCGGATTGTAAGAATATTTTTCAACTAGAAAAATTAGGCTATTATTGGGCACAAGGATTAAGAAAGTCAAGGGCTGGGACTGGAGAGATGGCTCAGTCATTAATAGCAGTGACTGCTCTTGCAAAGGACCCAGGTTCAATCCCCAGCACCCACATGGTGGCCAGTGAACAATCATAACTCCAGTTCCAGAAGATCTGAAGCCCTCTTCTGACCTCCGTGGGCATTGGACGACACAGGTGCACATGCAGGAAATACACTCATATACATATAAACAGTAAATAAAATATTTTTTAAAAAATTAAAGGAATGTTAAGGGAATATGTGATAGAAATGTTATGCAAGGAGCAGCAAAAGGAATGATCACCATGTAAGGAGAAGCCAAGCTGGGCAGAGAGACACTGTGGGGAAGACGTGGTCTCTGGCAGGTTGGATAGGAACCAAGGTTATTTCCGCAGGGTTCTGTCATAATGGACTCATGAATACTTTTAGAAGCTATGTAAGGGGATAACAGTTATGATTTATTCTGGAGGTGAGTTTTCTGTGGATCTAATGAGTAGAAAACAGGTAAAAATTAGCAAAATAATTTTTCACAGTGTATACATATATAATAGTTTCTCATTTAATGTGACCTTTACTTTTGGCAATACATGTAGAATTGATAAGCAGTCAAGATAAAATATCTGTATTGCTTCTCCAAGAGGGAAGACATGATAACATATCCTACAACTACAAAAAAATGTGGGAAAGGTATATTTCCCAGATCATGTGATTACAGCCTTGCAGAATCTATTAGGTTAGTAGGCAGATTATTGAGCAGGGGATGATTGTAAGACCCAGAGTTTGTGGCTGACTACAAGGAAAGGGTGTTCTCCATATGCAACAGGGCAGATGCACATATGAACTCACGTGGTTGTGACAGCATGCACAAGACCCATGCAGGTTCAAGGTAAAAATTTCTGAACATGGAGAAGGGAGGTTGGCGCTATGTCTCACCTCTACTTGGGGAGCTATTTGCAATTGATAGCTAGTGGGATACGGAAAATCAGTTTTCTTTAAGACTGTATCTCCTGGTATTGACCATGCTGTAGTGGATGGCCACACACCAGAATATATGGGCAGCACAAACTGGATTCAATAGACTTTTTAAAAGGAGGACATAAAGTTTAGTGGAGAAGGATGGAGGAATGGACTTGAGAGGGGTTGGGAACTGGGGACAATTATGATCAAAATACAGTGTATGGAATATTCAAATAACTAAGAAAAAGTGTTCATATTTTTATTAAACAAGTTTTTCTTAAAGATCATTAAAGAATTTTTAAAACAAAGGGACAAAAATTTGCTGACTCTGGATATGTGTAGTTGAGAGATATTTTGACATAGTCCTCACGGATTTGAAGATCATAAGTGTTTTGAGTATGTTAAAGGAAGAATTTCTCATAACACCTCATTATCCATAATATTACATTAAATTGTTGAGGTTTCCTGACCTACTCATGGGCATGACATAAAAGTGCTGAATAAGCTCATTTGGGGCCTAGACAAATTGGTCACCTTAGATAAATTACCTTTCCAATAGCACTAGTTAAATATTTCTGAACAAAATACCTTTAACTTTCTTTAAATTGGTTAAAAACTTGCATAGTAAGAAATACCTTTTCCATGGGCAATTGATAGTTGCTGGGAGAGAAAGAGTGAGACTTCTTTATGGTACGACTCCCAGTAGCATGACCATGCTCTAGGGCATGCTCCATACGCAAGAGTATTTGGGCAAAGCAAAGTAGACTCAATGAGAGAAAATAAAAGAGGATGTAAATTTGGGTGGGTAGAGAGGTGGGGAGGGGGATGTAGGATGAGTTTGGGGAGGGGAGAATATCAACAGAATACATCGTATGAAACTCTCAAAGACAATAAAATTATTTTTAAAAGTTAAGAAAAAGGCTTTTAAAAGATACTTTAAACTGTTAAAGTGTTTGGAATTGTAAGGACTATGGGACTTTTAAAGTTGTACTGTCTTATGTTGTGATATTAATTTAACATATCTTGGGGGACAAGAAATGGAAAGGTTATGATTTAATAGCAATATATTTGCTTTCAAGTTCACAAGGGGTCAGTTTTGCTGAATAGCTTTAGTTGTCAACTTGACACACTAGAGTAGAAGGAGCCTCTATTGAGGAATTTCCTCCATTGGATTGGCCTGTCTGTGGGACTGCACTGTCTGTGGGTATTTTCTTGATTGTTAAGTGATATGGGAGGGCCCCATCCAGTGTGGGTGGTGCCATCTCTGGGCAGGTTACCCTATGCTGTGTAAGAAAGTAGGATAAATATGGGTCAAAACAGCAAGTAAGCAAGTAGTGTTCCTCCATGGCCTGTGCTTCAGCTCCTGTCTCCAGGTTCCTGCCCTGAGTTCCTACCTTGGGCGTCCTAATGAATTTGTGACCCAGGAGATGTAAGCCAAATAAATCACTCTTTCCCCCCCTGTCCCCCCAAAAAAGTTAAATAAAAGGAGGAATTGCTGACAGCCTTGGGTATCTTTCTTCTAAACATCCTAATGAATTTGTGACCCAGGAGATGTAAGCCAAATAAATCACTCCTTCCCCCCGTCCCCCCAAAAAAGTTAAATAAAAGGAGGAATTGCTGACAGCCTTGGGTATCTTTCTTCTAAACCACAGAAGACTATA